TCGTTCCGGCCTTTTGTTCTGATGTTCCGGCCACCTGAGGGGCCTGGAGGTAGAATCCAGCGAGACCTGGAGTCCTTTGGCAAGCGAGGGAGCAGCTGGGAGAAGGAGAAAAGTCGGTGGGTCCACCAACATTGTCATTGTTTGGTTTGATGCGCACGGACCATCGCGGTTGGCTTGGTTCTAAAAATTGTGTGCGAGTCTTTAAATATTCAAAACTTCGATCCAAGGTACATTCATTTGGATTCGGAAGGTATGTACAGAATGGCGATATCATAAGTTTTCTTCCCAGAGATGATCATGCTCAGTAACAGTGTCAATTTGCATGGCTTTTTGGTTTTCTCAATCCCGTCAGAATATTGTGACGATGCTGTACAAACATTCGCGCTCAAATGTCACTCAAACGTTAGCCCTACCTTGATAGAAGGTCTCGTAAACTCTTCCACAAACATTTGATGCCAACATTTGTGACATAAAATGTTCGATTGGCGGTGTAAGCCGTTGAAAGAAAACTTATGCTAAACAACTCTTATAGCTGTTTTTGAGCTTTTGGTTTGGGGTCTATTTTCACATCTGCAAATACATGCCTTTGTGAGAAATTTGCTGAGTTTCTTGCTAGAGAAGTATTCATGCCCAGATGCTTTCAGCAGAGGAGATGTGGATGGGACAAGCAAGAATTTGAGAGAAGTAAACTGACCTGGAGAATAAGAACTTACACACCTATCAGAATAGTGTCCATCCCCTTATATGGTCTTTTAGCTCACTTGGTAGTGCCGTATTTTGTCCGAACCCACCAGGTTGCGAGTTCGATCCCGTTGAAAAGCACTTTACTTTAATTAGAAGTTTAATTACATTAGATACCTTGACCAAGCCGTGATATAATACCCCTCAGTGAAAAGTGACTAAGTTCACATTCACATGAAAAAAAAGTTCAAGAAGTTGAAAACCCAAAAAAAAAAGGTGAAAAAGTGAAAAAAAGGTCGGAATAATAAATGTGCAATGTGACCGCCATAATGATGTGTGTTTTTACTGTCATTTTTGTGTGTGTTTTTAAGCCACTGTGAACCAAAAAAAGTTGACAAAATCTCATAGAAAGCAGGCCAGTTTCATAGAAAACAGGGGTTTATGGGTGTCTATGGGTGTCTATGGAGTTGACCCCCCCCTCCCACCTTGCTATCATAGACACCCATCGTCTATGACGTCTATGGCGTCTATGTGGGTCTCTGTGGGTCTATGGGACAGTTTTGGTTTTTCCTGATGCGAGCCGGCTGATGAGACCGTCACCGACCCTACCACGTATGGAATTGACTGGGATGTTGCTGACGACCGGGCATTGATGGCCCATCTGCTGGACGAGAACCCGCAAGGTTGGGCCACCCAGAACCTGTTTGCTCCTGGGCACCACTTCCTTTCTTATGTTCTAGAAACCCCCACCCTGACAAGGGAAGAAATGCGGGCCGGGGCTGCACTGGTCAAGTCCCTCGGGGGTGGAGTTCGGCCTTCAGGTTCTTGATCTACAGAGTACATGATGTTCAATAGTAGAGATGATTGGATGTTGTGCCTCTGATCGGTGGTTTACTGTGCTCTTGACTTCTGACCCCTTCGTGAGTTTCTGGAAATTTTACCGTAACAACTATGCATGCCTCTGGGTCTACCGTAATTTATCAATACGTATAAGCTTACTACAGGTGGACTCTTGAAATCTCAACTTGCTATTCCATTAAATAAATGAATTTTCAAACAAACAACACAGTAAGTATATACACATAAATACAAAATGAGCTAGAATTTCATACATATGGTGATTCAACACTCAGGCCGCAATCAATCTGACCTGTTCTTCCGCCAACTCTAGCTCTTCAGCATCACTATCCATGTCCTCCACCTGCCCCGCGGGAACATTGAGCTCAGCCAACTTAGCCAAATTCTTTTGGTGCTGCTCTTTCACTTCCTCGCTAATGTCACCAACCCTCTCATCAACATCCTGAACTCTCTTGGTTTGCGATGAGCGCTCGAAGAGTGGCCTTGCAGTTTCACACAGTTCCAGTGCCTTGAGCAAATCCCCATTCTTCTTGGCTATGTCACTGAGGCGGATCATACACTCTGCTCTGCTATGGTGCACATCCATGTATGTAAATCCATCCAAGGCAACAGTGAACAGGCTGACAGCAGTGATTTTGACGTCTTCCATGAGGTGAACATCTCCAATGAATTGCAAGGCCTTGTAAATTCCGAGCTTCTCCTTTGCCCTCAGAGAGTGCACAAGAAAGACTATACTCCATGAGGAATCATGACCAGAGCTCCAGCCAGTGATATCTGCCAGTCTCTCCAGGCAGTGGCTCACTTCCTCGTTAAACTGCCCCCACCCGGATTTAAGGCATTTGTGAAACAGGGAGGTTGACATATCTCCTTCCCTGAAATTTAGAGTGGCTCGGGTCTTGTCACAAGCAAGCATCATTATTTTATGTCCAGTTTTGTTGAAAATAGTTTGTACTGCATATACCTTCTCCTGGATCACATTATATGAGACTCCCATGAGGACCTCAACTTGAGCAATGTTCATCAGGGAAAGGGCTTCATAATACAGCTGTCCCCCCTGATAGGTTTGTAGGAGTTGCCTGTGGAGGTTACGAGCATCATTATACTCTGATTTAAGTGTATGGATTTCTGCCTGGCAGCTGATAAGGCTATATGCTAACTGCCCCTGAGACAGACCACACAGCTCTAGGAGATCTGTGGCCTTCTAACTAGAAATATGCATTGCGGAAGTAGACCTGAACCTAGGGAGCACGTGGCCTCATTGTATATTCCTTTTGCTTCTTCATACAAATTGCCAGACTTCTTTGCAAGTCTCTATGCCTCCTGGGCATGAACTTGGGCAGTAATATAGTCACTCATACACCATTCGATCCATGAAAGCCCAAGAAAGGCCTGGGTTTGTCTCCTGATGTTTCCATGTGACTGTGCTGAGGAGAGGCCCATTTGACTATATTTTAGAGCTCTGGGCATGTCAAGGTATGAGTAAAAGCAGCCTAATGAATGGAAAAGATGGCTACATTTTTTTAGCCCACTTCATTAACGTAGAAGGTATACATACATTCCAAATCAGAATCATCCAAAGTTTTCAACCACTCGAAGATTTGAGCAATTAGTGTTTCAGGATGGGGGATTGAACGAACTTCTTGGACCCCAAATAACATAACTGCAAAGGATGCTTTTGCCTGATGATCCCCTGAGTGTGGGAGGAGGGTGAGCACCTTTTCCACCAGAGGCATTGCACCTCTGGCACTGGTTGTGCTGAATTGGATGAAATGAGATGCACAGGAGATGTTCTGTGTCAGATCAGGATGCCTTGGGTGTAGTCTGTTCTGGATAATGTTTGATATATTGGTGTAATTTTAAGTCAGTCGTTTGGCATATATGGCTGATTGACTTCCCCAATCAGCTAGATACCCTGGAAGGAGCCCCTGGAAGTGTTTGAAAAGTGGTCTGATCATTTTATCTGTTGGTGGGCAAAATTTGATCATATATTCCCAAATTGGTACCAGAACTTTGAGTCGTTTATGGTCATCATGGTAGGCCAGAGCAGTGCGAAGCAGAGCCCTTTTACAATCAAGGACATCCAGAATTACAAAGTTGCTTTACTTCAGTTCTACATCTGAGAGCCCATCCGGAAGGATGGACAGCAGACTCAATAGCTCCTGGGGGTGAGGGGTGGATGCAATTCTGGGACTTGCAAGGGAAAGCGAAATGGATAACTCAAGATTAGATTTTCCGTCATATCCCTCTGAAATGACTGAGGTATGCTCCCTCTGCCAGCGTGACAAGATTGCAGTGCAGCCTTCCACATCCACGGCATGAGCAAGAAGGCTGATTGAAAGTGGCATATTGTCTGTGAGGTGAAGGACCTGGTCCATCTCCTCCATTGAGTGCCTGTCTTTTGCAATATCCATAAACATCTTGCGGGCAGCATCTTGTGCCAAGGGCTCCAGAGGGGGCAGGAATGGCCGTGTAAAACATGGAAAGAAGATGGGTTGCCGCTCTGCGTGTGATGAAAAGTCTTGGGTTCCCCGGACCCTAGTATGGAGGAACTTTGGATCCGGGCTGGTTGGATATGCCAATAAACAACCCGCAAGGCTATATTACACATTACAGTGTAGGGCGTATGTCTACAACATAGGCTGCTGCATTATTTTACCCGGGTTAACAGATGTATAAAGAAGGGGCGGCAGTCAATCAACGGCTGCTTTAAGTGCCACAGGTATGCACCCGGAAAATACATCCGCTACCGTGGCCTCCCAAATTCAACCCAATTTCCACGTAGAACAGTGTTGTTGGGATGATGTGATGACAGGGGCGCGGCGAGAGGATGAACATAAAAGAAGAAGAAAAGAACACGGGCATGGCTGTGTGTGGCGCACAGCCTCATCAAAGGACCGAGACTCCGAGCTAAGCAAGCCTAAGCTTCACTTCCCACCATCATCCGACGGCAGCAAACACCCACCGCGCTGGAGAAGAATTCGGGAGAGGGAGAGTGTCTCAACATTTTGACTTCCTGGATGCTCTTTGAACGACATTGAATCTTCGGACCTCAATATCTCAAGAAATTCGCGGAATTCAAGTTGTCTCTTTGATGTGGAGTCTTCTTTGTCTGCATCTGTCCAGCTCCCATTTCTGCCTCAGAGTGAAAATATTACCCTCATTCTAGTTCCACTCGGCCTCGGACTTTCGCCTTGGAGTACTTATCGTGCTGAAATCCGGCCACCGAACTTACTGCCGAAGGCTTATCAACACCGCCCCTCCAAGAAAACTCACACACCTGGGACCTATATTTCTCTCCTGGATTCAAGATGGTACCTGTAATTCTGGCCACGTTGTGAGCTGTCACTTTGTGATGCGCTCCGAACACAGCCAAACCGGAGGAAAAACGAGCTTTCACGACTATGACCCCGATATCCAGGAGTATGACAACTGCCGCACCTCCGAATAAGAAAAGAAGACTCAGGCCAGACCCCAAATTGAACGGAGACCTTGCAAGGAAACATTGAACAAGGCTGTATTTGTCTCGGATGCGTTACCATTCCGCCACCTGGCCGTGATTATTGGATAAAAAGCTCATTGCATTGAACACGGTGTGAGCTGTCACTTTGTGATGCGCTCCGAACGCGGCCAAACGGGAGGAAAATCATACTCACAACGACGACTCCGTATACAAAGAATATGTCAAGCAATCGCGCCTCCAAATAAAAAGGCCAGACCCCGATGAAACGGCGTGTCATTGAATACGCTGCCATCTGGCTATTATTTGCGCTTTTTAGCAATAGTCTGTCTAGACGCTACTAAGTAATAATACAGCCGTCTAGACGGGTCAATATACCTACTAGAACTCTGTTCGGTGGTACAAAGGAGAGTCAGAGTGAGCTCTGGCTGCTGACTGTAGTATTAGTACAGTGCTAGGCGTGGTTACAAGCGTTACACTGTGCGAAGTACACATACCAAGGAGGTCTATACGGGGTCTAGTACCTCAGAATGTCAATTACCCTATCAAAGGAACCAACGACTGCACAGGAAAGCCATAGTCTTCACTAGCAGGGCAAGCTACATGATATAGGGTCTGTCTAGACGAGTCGACGCGCTAAGTAACAGGCGTCTAGACGAGCATAGCACGACTCTATAGGCTGTCTAGACGGCAAAGTACCGCGTCTAGACGGTGCAAGGAGCTTAGAGATATAGGGAGGGGTCGCCCCAAAGTGCCCCTCTAGCCAGTCAGGTGACCAACGCGACGCGGTCAGCGTTGGGGCGCCACAAGCACAAACATGACGAAGGAGTTCTTGTTGAGATGTAGCCATGGGCCGACGTATATATGTCTAGTCCGTGTGCTATCGGGGTATTCGAGCGGATTGGTGAGCAGTCCGGCGTCGGGGGACGGAGTTTTGCAAATTACAAGGTTCGGGAGCTGTCTAGACGACCCGAACTGGCCATATACCCGAACTGGGCCCCCAAGATCGTCATCTATATGACTTTCTGGCAAGTCCAGAGCCAGCATAGACCCGGTTAGCCTTCCGAGGATGACCGCATGACCAGAACATCGGCCTGTTTTACTCATTTCTCTTTACCTCATCTCTTTCTCTCAGAATCGTATATAAAGCCTCATAAAATACCGCAACAGACCAGTGTATGCCCCGCTCATCGTTACGACGATTCGGGTGTGCTCAGGCCACTTAGCGGAGATTAAAGTACCATCTCTCTCTGTGTAACAGTAGTCTATAAAATCGCAGCGTTGCTTGTTGGATCCAGAACATTTGTGTGAACCTATAAGCAAAGCTTCGCGTTGGGAGGTCGTGAGCGGCGACTGCCTCCACGTATAAATCAGGACCGCACGCACATTAGAAGGCTTGAGAACTGCACTTAGCGTCGCGAAGTGGACTCTAGCAGGGCATCCGCATTGGGTGACCAGGAAACGCCTCGCTAAAACCGACCACGCCCGGCACAGCACTTTGGGAGAACCCTGGGACAACCACCGGTCGTTTAGCTGTGTTGGATAGTACTTTGAGGTCCTTAATAAACTCAAGTGTACGGAAAAGATCTTGGATTCAAAGGAGTCCGATTCTGCCGCTAGTTCTCGAGAGGCTAGCTGTGCACCAGAGGCCGTCTAGACGAAGCAGCATAGCCCTTGAACGGGATTTTCAGTCCAAATCTACACCTCCTCGCCTAGGCACCTGTACTTCGGTGCGATTCCTAGTAACAACCCTTTATATATAAACCTGCACATCATTCCCTGGAAGTCTTGTTTAGAAGCCAAGCAGCCAAGCCAACTAGCGTCTAGACGCTGCATTTTGAGACGTTTTGAACGCATAGAACAACTATACGTGCTCTAGACATCAGATCCGCAGTCGCATACTACGACTCAGGACCCGAACTCATCGAGGAAGACGCGCTACGTCCCCCGTGAGTCAGTTTAGATAGGATTGGGTTGGTGTGTGTGTGTTTTGTGTGTGGTGTGTTAGTTGTTCAGCTAGCCCGCATTCAGAGCTTAGTTTAGCCCATTCCATAGTCAGCGCATCTTGCCCGTTTCACCGAATCGAACGGAGACCTTGCGAGGAAACATTATTGAGTGGGCTGTATGAGTCCCGCATGCGTTACCATTCCGCCACCTGGCCACGATTAGAAAGGAGAGCCTCGACAAACGGACAAGGGAAAACAAGAAGACGATTGATTGACTCTTGCGCTACCTGGCATAATACGCGTTTGTTCAAAAAAACTCGAGCGGCACGACTGGCAAAAGCATTTCCGTGATAGTGTATCATGGCCAGACTTCGAATCGAACGAAGAACTCGTGAGCATATATTGGTCAACGTATACGAATCCCACGCGCGCTACCGTTGCGCCATCTGGCCGGTGCTAAGGAGAAGGAAACGGGGGAGCAAACGGAGACGGAGTGGCTGCGGTATGGGAAACAGAGTGACTAAACACAGAACGCAGGGGGTTCTTGGGAAATGGGGCGACTGAAACGGGAAACGGAGGCGGCACGAGGCTGCTCCGAGTCAATTTTTAACCCCTTCAGAATCGGGAACGCGTGGGCGATCACAGAGGCGAGTCAGAACTGAAAAGGAGGAACATCCATTTCCAATTAAAGGTATAAGTACGCGCGCGAGTATCGGACAGAGTATGGTATAAAAGCCAGCTGTATGATACGGAATGACCATCTTATTACCTCCCACTGCATATACCTAAAGCTACTCCCCCTGAAGTACACCGGGGTGGGAAACTAAATTAAATACACTCCGCTACGGGTCGTGCCGCCCAATAGTAGGACAAACCAAGGTCACCCAAAAGGCCAGGGCTTGTCAAGAAACCCTGTCCGTCTCGCCTCCGTTTCGATAAATTGATACGGGGGAAATATAGTCAATCCGGAGTTGAAAGTGCGCGGTAGTAGATTACGCGGCACACCACCAAACGGCCAGTTGCCTAACTTGGCTTCGTGCAACCGTTCCTTTTCGGAGTTCGAGCACATATCCTTGCGAGGAACCCACCTCATCGTACACGGAAGGCCTATCCTACACGATCATACCATTTCCCCCATTCAATTCGCACACTTCACCCCCGAGTCTTCGAAACGGAAGTGATTCCATCTCAAGGCGTTCACCAACGGAGAAACCAGGCTACGAAGGGAATCGCTATAGCCGTCCGTATAGTGTTGCACTGTACTGAGGAGACCTGCCATCCGATACGTTCGAGACGGGTGGATAAAGCATAACAGATAACCCGAGCACTCCGGAACGGAACAGCATTCGCATTGCGGAGCGTACCCTTCGAGCAAGTGTAGAAAACTATCCATCCGCGGTACCTTCGGAAGGCCAGCCCTCAACGAAGAACCAAATCTTCGAGGAACCTGGCAAAGCGTTCATTCCAAAACGGAGAGAACTGTACACACACACACACCACAAATTATATATCGCGCATTAGCGTACCTTAAACTACGCAGCTCCGCGACAGAGCAATTTCCTCCTAGAGGACAAATTAAAATTCTGTAAACACTACTTGACTATACCCACCCTGGGTCAGGCAGTTTGCAGAACCGCAGTCCGCATCATACCGAGTTAAGCCAAGAACTCACGGGGCAGGAGGGGCCGGTGTCATGACACCATTATGGCTCAACCAGGTCACCATGCAAATGTGTGTTGTTGAGAACGCGGGCCAACGTGCCTCATTCTAGTTTGTATGGAATGAGTTTTGAAGATGAGAAATCAGAAGGGGACAGAGGGAGAGAAAAAACTCACGGAATAAAAGCCACCACAGTTGGAGGCCGGGGAAGGGCCCCGACGAAAGGCGTAATTTGGATGAGTAGCGTCGTTGCAGGGAATATTTTTGTGTGCAATCCAACCGTGCCCGCAAGCGCATACCTCGGAGGTGGAGGTCGGAGTCTGGAAAAACCTGTTATCAACTAGACTCGAGCCAGTAGTTATTCGGGATATTGATGACAGTTGATCAATAGGCCACTCGGATAATGACTGGAACGAAATCACCATCGTCTAGTAGACACGAAGAATGCCGAGAAACATTTTTTGAAGGCATGCAAAAAGATTTTTATTTCGGAAATCTAAGGAGACAAAGTTCTTGGATTTTTATTCTCTCCCCAACTGCCATCGCGGTGAATTAATCTTACCCTGCAAAGCACCTCCAGGATAAAATTGGAACACCGCATTATTCACATGCTTGATGTAACTCCGCGAGGTCGACAAAGTTTGCTCAAAAACTAGCTACACTAAGGTCAATTCTGACGCTATTTAAAATCCGAGCACGTCCGAAGTCTTAGAATCTTAATGGCTAAGGACTGCCGACTCAGATTTGCGAGATGAAAAACTTTTTACCGGCGTTAAGAAAATGTTTCTCGGCATTCTCCGTGTCTACTGCTAGGCAACGGTGATTTCGTTCCAGTCCCTCCGGTGTACTGATCAAACGACTGTCTTTGAGATTTCATGCCTTCGGGACTGGTTCGAGTCTAGTTATCGACAGCAATAGAAGGGAATAACAGAGCGAACGTACAAGACGAGGAACGGCAGCACTTGTTCGGGCGGCAATATCTGAGGCCACAAAGACAGCATTGCGCGGGCCGAGCGCAAGCAAAGCGAGGGCCGGGTGGGCACATTTTTACGGAAAGGAAGTGGAGGGAGGAAGGTCGACAGAAGTATTTGTTAAAGGGCTAGAAAGACGTCAAAAAAAATGAGTCTGAAACCGGGGATAAGGATAGATTGGCCGGATGAATGCCTGTAAAGGGTTGCCTTGTCAAGGACTTTCGTAAGGCAGGTGCTTCTATGGTGAAAGGAGTGGAGATCGGCGCCAATGACATGGGAATAAACTAGGTGGCAGGTCCCGAGTGGAGGCTGTGGGAAACCACAAGCGACTGAAGATTTTGAAGAATGATCTTGCAAGATCTTGCAAGAGGTTGCATCTTTTTGAGTGCAATGGTTTCATTAGATCTTGGAAGAAATTGAAAGATGAGGGGAAAAAACCTACTATGAGAGATCTTGCAAAATTGTCCGAGAGGCAAGATCCTGCAGGATTCCATGCACAAAATGCCATGGAAGGTTGAAA